CCCCCCCCCCCCCTCAAGTCTTACGTTGCCCCTCTCTTTTCGAAATTCCGTGAAGGGACGGCGATGTGGCTGCTCAGAAGGGACAACTTGACGTGTTGAAGTCTGGGCAGGCGAAGGAGTTCAGCACGCAGGCTATGGACCTGGCTGCGGCCAATGGGCACTTAGAGGTCGTCCAATGGCTTCATGAGAACCGCAAGGAGGGGTGCACGTGAGTTGTTTCCTCTTTGTTTTCAGCCGGCGGTGGTGGCATTGATTGCATTGCCGCTACTTTCGATGCCGTGACCGGTGCGTAATGTGGGACTGGTACTTACTGTTGCCGTCGCGTGTGGTGAAGACGGTCATATTGCCTCAATGGCAGACGTCGTGAATGTGATTGGAAGTGTCTAGAACAGCAGCAGTCCATGTATGGATCGTGAGGAGGTATGTTTCCTCAGGCCATGCAGTGCCCCGATGCTGCCTCGTTCTGCGTCATGTTTTTTTTGGTATCCAGCGATGTTTCCGCAGGTGGCCTGGCAGGATGAAATTCTAGGTCGGTCACGTTGGTGAGTCCCTTTGCTCGTTTTTGTAGTCAAACGTTTTTTTTCATTAAAAATATTCGTGATTGGTACAGAGCTCCCATGGTCACTTGTCCATTTGGGACGAGCTATCATTTTCCCAACGATCCCGGCCGAAGTTGGGACCCAAGTCCAACCCTCACTTGAACCTGTGACGCGTTCTCTACGAATATCATTGCAGGCCTGAGAGTTGGCGCCGGATTCGTTTCCGTCGGCAGGTTTGCCCTCAATTCAATTTTGACCGTTGAGCTATGTTTTCTATCTATTCCATTTTCGGCTAGGGGCTGTCCATTCTTCGCGCGCCACATATCCAGCGGGCGGCTGAGACAAGCATCCGAATTTTCGGGCTCTCAGGAGGCGGCCATTTCTCCCACCATTTTCACGTGGATGTTGAGCCAGTGGTTCTTTCCGACTTTCCGGCATGCCTTTCCGGCGTTTTACCGATTCTCCGGTTTCCCCGATCACACGCACGCTCGCTCCATAGCCGCTCTCCCAGCTGTACACACGCTGCGCTTTCCGACAGAACAGTTCACATTAACAGCAGAGGGAGTATGAGGTCAGGCGACGGCTCTCGCTTTTTTCTGTTTGTCTCCCGCTTTGTCTCTCTCCCTCTCCCCGTCTCGCTCTCTCCCTCTATATTTCTCAGCTCAGAAACACACCTATTCTCAGCTCGTGAGTGCTTCACGACATGTCAACACACGCACACTTCGTTTTTTGGGAAAAATACTTGTTGTTTTTGTGACTGCCGGACCTTTCGTCTCCGCATCCCGCACTTCGCAGCATGACATGATACGTGTTTGCTGTAAGTGTTGGTTCTTTGCTAAGCGAAGAGTGTTACCGTCGCCGCCGCCGCCGCCGTGAGGTGCAAAAAACTGATACAATGTATGCTCATTTACTTGTACATGATGTCGATGTACACCCATCCTCACGAGACATGCTTTGACAACCACGTCGACAGCTAGAGGTATTGAGTGCTATCCATTTTCGCGTGCCCACCACGGCCACCTCCTCCGTTGACAAGCAGATGGCGCGTGTCCAGTTGGTGGACTCCGTTCTCTCTTTATCAGTGCTCGCTTTCAGTGCTTGCGGCACGGACTGCCACGCCCTTTCACTCCGCACGCCGAAACCTCCGCACTCTGTAGTTTTGTTTCTATGTGCGTGTTTTTTTACCGCCGTGCGGTAAGTTGAACAGTGTGGTGCTTTCTGATCACACCCATCGGTATGTAGGGGGGGTGTCATGCGCATGAACAGGAGGAGTACCTGGATGCAGTATAGTGTGGTCTTTCAAATGGCACGAAATGGGTGCTGTGTTGCTTAGTGTGCCCATCCAATTTCTTTGACAACTATTTTATTCCGGTTTTACCCTCCAACATGTATGAATGTACACACGCACGAGCACGTTGGTTTCACCGAGCTTTGTCATCTGCACCCACCTCCCAGCTCAACACCAACGCTCGCCGCCTGCCGACCAACACCAACATCCCGTTCCACGCCAAGAATTGTTCGTGAATTCCACGCGGACGGATCCAAATATATGCAGAGCAGCAGTACCAGAGTCTTTTCTGAGGTTCTTCGTGTGTTGTTCTTCGTATGTTTTGTTCAGGAATCATTGGCACAAATACAACATGTACCAGCTGACCGCAGTGTATGGTGTACTCCGTGCCGTGCATTCCTGAAAGATGTCTGAAAGTTTGGAGTATCCGCGCTGTCGATCGGTCGCGTTTATCAGCGCTCTTTTTGTTTCGGTACTGTACTGTAAGGTACTGTGAACACGACGGCACACAACGAAATGAAGTCGGCAATCCCAACATTCCAACGCTAATTACCATTCGCTTTGTGACTTGTTTCACTCAGCGTGGCGCCGACGACCGCAAAAAGCCTTGCAACCATTCGATTTATATCGTCGCTGGAACGACCAAGTGAGTTTGGTTCCCTCACCTACGAAACGAGGCTTGGAGCAGCAAGTACTTTCCCTCGCGATGGCACGGCGTTTTTCCGATTGAAAGCAACGCCAACGGCTATAAACCATAAGCGTGTGTAGAAGCGGCATGCCTGAAGCCTTACTCTGCTGAGTGCATAACCATAGGCGATCTGTGGGAGGAGCACGAATATTGCGGTGACAACGTAGGTATTGGCTGGATGGTGTATGTGGGAAACAATTGCGAAGGGACGGAAGTGCTGGGGGCCGATGCAAGTAGGACGAGGGAATGAGCCGCCGCTACAACTCAACTCAATGCCTTGCTGTGGTCTTTCTGCGATGGTGTGGGAGACACTCTGGTTGCAGGCAACCACACATACTCCTAGACGTCCGCAATTCATTCGTATGCATCCGTATTAGTCGAGTGGGTCTTCAAGACTGGTGCATCCGCTCCCCGCTGGAGTGTCAAGTGTAAAATGCTGCACCAAGGGTTGGAACAAGCGAGCACGCCGTGACGCATGCGCTCTTTTACAGCAGTACCGCCAAACGATCGGCACCTAACAGCACGGCCGCCGGCATTAATGGACAGCAGTGTTGGTGCACACGAATACACTCGGTAGAGCCCGTCGGGCAGCGCGGTTCGGGAAGTGGCAGCAGCACTGCTTGTTCTGTTCAAACGGAGCCCGTCCTAACCGTTGTCTCGTGTGGGGTGTGGATTGGTTGTCATCATCTTTGTCCCATTTCTCATGTTTTACTTGCTGGAGACGGCGTCGCCTGTTTGTTTCCCTCGCCCCCCGCCCTGTTACTACCCGGCGAAAGTCACCATACCTATCGTACTGAGTCTCATGTGGCGACTGCATCGACAGCCCCAACGCCTCGAATCTGCTCTCGGCTTGTGGTGGTGCTGGTACGGTAGCAATGAGTCCCATCTATCTTATTCCTGAGAGATTTTCCAACGGCAAGAATGAGCATATCGCCAATACCCCCTCTGTTGTGTAGCCAGAGAGCGGGCACCAGGTCTGCTGCTACTATGCTTTCACGCACGGAAGGGATTGGGCCACGGAGGGTGGGTGCGTTCCTGTAGATCTGTGAGATTATGACCGGAGTCTTTCTTCTGTTTCTCCTGGTTTGGATCGCTTGTTGTTTGCGTCTGAGATCTCGATTTGTGTTCCCCCTTCAACTTGAGTTGACCACTCCCGGGGTTTGGGTGAGGTGTCTCCTACGAGTTTTCGGGACAACGGCCTGCGTAGTACGGCCATCTATCATCTGTCATCTATCATCTATCATCTGTCTCTGTCGGAGCACCACCAAACGGGTGTGGCGAAGAGTTTCCTATTGTTCTTCTCGTTGGGACGGAAGGGGAGGCTTGTCCAGGCTTCACGGAGGTCAAGGCTTGACCCCCTGTATCGCGTTGGAACAGACCGATATTTCCTCTCCTACGATGAACGAAAAAACCTTCGTGCCTGTCGCCGCTCCGCGGCGCATTGGATTTGTCTCGCGGGAGGGGGAGAGGCTTCGATTGTTGCAATAATTACTTTTTGGTTTTGGTCATGGGATCTCTTGCAATGGGGATGTTGAGACTTGATTCCATTCCTCTTGAATGGTAACATACCTCCACTCTCTTAGACGTCTAGCCTAGGGTGTTGCAGAAGATTGGTTCACGGGCCGCTACGTGACGAGAAATCGACGTTGTTTGTCGTGTGTTGTGTCAGGTGCTCATTAGCAATCGACAGGGCGGCTGTGGCGCAGGCCAAGGAAAAACCTGCGCTATTCGTAGGTCATCATAAGCGACGCTTTGGGGCATTTTTGTAGCGTATGAAGCAGTTGTTTTCTTCCGTTCTGGCGAGGTGCCAGTGCATCTCCATTTCCTTGGCAACCCAACACACTGATGGCTATCCTCCAATTCAACACGCTATTTAGGACGGAGGCAATGGACGAGGCTGCAAAGAATGGCCATCTGGACGTGTTGGTGTGGCTGCACGAAAATCGCCAAGAGGGGTGTACTGGAGGGGCGATGGACATGGCGAGCAGGCACGGACACCTCGAGGTGAAACGTGATCTTTTGTGACGAGTTATCATACATGTACTCGGTTTGTATCAGCTCTTTCTACCTTAGCTTGTCTTTTGTGTGCTTTGCACGTGCATCGGCCGCTCTTCCATCGGCCGCACCAACCGGCTGACCAATGCACAAAAGTCAGCGTCTTATCTTTCAGCGGGACCAAATTCAAAGTCTCCGGAGCAAGCCCAACTTTGTAGAAGCCAAAATGGTCTGCTGTTATCAACTCCCTGAGAGTTCGTTTTGTGGTTCTTGTTGGTGCGTTGGAATCGACCACCTTACCCCACCGACCAAATTACTATATGCAACGCTTTTCGTGGGTGGTATGCCAAGTCGACATTCGCGGGATTTTGCGTGTTATCCTCCGATCGCCATCTGCACGATTTTCAAGGCAATAATGGTCGTCCTATACGTTGCCATGGAACCAGCCACTTGTTGATACGAGTTCGTGGTTTCGTTGAGCTTCGTCGATAATTAGCGGAGTTCCTGTCTGAAAGTAGAAGGGTAGTCCACGACCATCACCGGGGGTGATGGATCAGTCCCGACTTTTGTTCACCACACGGTATCGTGTTTCCAATTATGATGGGGGCACGTTAACCATTCTCAACTAAAATAGAAACCAGGCCTTGTTGTGGTACAGCGTGGGGCGTTTGTAGTCCCGCAGGCTAGTGCACTGGTACAGGATTTTTCGGTGGCCATGTTTTTGTTTTTGGTGCAGTTGGAAAGCAACAAGACAATCTGCTCTCCGCCAACACAAACGTTCAACATAAAGTCCGGTTTAGTGCCGGTGAATTTCATCTGCACATACCGGCACTATATCGGGCCACCCACTGTATGTGCAGATGTGCAGACTAAAGATCTCCGCTACTAAGTTTCCACACAATGTGCAGGCTCAATGTATCACGCCACCGCGGCCCTTGGCAGTGGCAGTGGGTTAACAGTGTGTGCACAACAGTGAGTTCACGTCACGTCCAGGTATTGTTGTACAGCCGTAAGGTGCCGTATCTACCGGCTTGACGTTTGTCCAGCACTTCAACACCCCATTTAGAATACGGACAGAGGGTGCTCTTGAGCACCTTGCGTAACATTCCACCTTTGCCAAGGCGTCGTTGAAATTTTGACCCATGAATTGCTTGATATATTGGTTGCGTAGCCTACAGTGATGCACGTCTGGGCACGATGGTGTACTGCAGATGACGGCAGCACCAATCGAACGCCCACTGCCTTTGTCCCTTTTTTTGGTAGGCGTTTCAAAGTGCGCTGTCGCCCCGTTTTTGGTCCGTCGCCTTCGTGTTGGACACAGGTGTTGAAGTTCTTGCACGAAAACCGCAGCGAGGGATGCAGCACTCTGGCGGTCGATTTCGCCGCGCACAACGGTCACACGGAGGTAAAGTTGTCTGTATTTGGTCAGTACAAGGGCGCTTCGCGGACGACCGCTATCGGCAGTCGCCGCTGCGCTGGTAGGTTGCATGGCGATGTCAAGTGTGTGCGGGTTGAGTTTGGAAGTAGGTGTTGTCTTGTTGTGAAAATATACCCCTAGTAAAATACGAACTTTCTTGTTGAAGGGTGTGCACACTCCTCTACAATCGGCCACCTCTACACCCGAGCTACGCTTGAAAACAACAAGCTACAATCAAACGTAGAGGAGCATGTATTTCTACGGCAAGCTTTACAGATGTGGAAGGCGCGTACGGACGGCAACATCGGTACGATAGTGCCGCCGATAGATGTCGTATGGAGATGACAGCGAAAGTTATTCGGCAAGGTACCTACACGGGTGACGACGGGTGAAGACGCGTACAGACGGCAGCTTGCCGCGGATCGATGCCGTATGGAGATGACAGCGAAAACTACACAAAAAAAAAGAAAACCGAAAAAGAAGGAGCGCACCTGCACACTACCGCCGAGGCGCGCGTAGTAAAGGAAGGGCGGTTGTGTTAATTTCATGTATTCTGGCACCGGTGTACAGGCCTGTCGGTGTATATATGTGTGAAGGTACGAAGAAGAAAGCCCTGGTAACGGAAAATGGGTACACACCCGTTGACGCGAAACCGCCAACACACAACCGACGCACCTATAAGGGAAGATATGAGAAGGAAATTACGCACAGGAGATCTATTTACGGACGGTGACATTGATGGCCACATTTTCTCTGCCGCAACATGAGTCATCGTCATTATGAAGAGGCGGAGTGCGTGCGAGTCGAGTTTTGAGAGGAGATATGTGTAGTCTATCTATCTGTGTGAATGTTGTTGTGCTCATTTATTTGTTGCAACAACTAAAGGTAAAGCGATACACTGTCTCGGCAGTAGCTCAGTTTCCATCCGTTATCCCTCCACTCACTGAAAAGACTGCACTACATCCCTTCGACTGTGTGGGTATATCTCGGACGGGCGTCTCGTTGCATTGTTTTCTGTTTGTTGTCTAAAGCGACGGCCAGAGGTCAGAGAGAGAGGAAAACCTTTGACATACTACATGCAGATGTGGACAAAGAAGCAACACCGCACAAGAACAACGTCTTCTTCCGTTTGTTGTATGCATGCAGAAGCCTGCACGAAAATGGACGTAGATGTATGTGTCGCCGCATTACCATCGGAAAGTATGGATGTGTCGTAGTCTACGTGTGAGAAAAGCTATTGATTTCTGGTTCCGACGTACAGATACACGCATATTTTTGCACTGCTGTTCCAAACTTCCAGGATTTAGTCCTATCACTATCTCAACCCGGTGACCAACCCAACCCCATGCTACAGGTAGCGCTAGTATGTAAGCCTAAGCCGCGGCAACCCGCGGCGGAAGAAGGTGGGTTTCTGTGCACTGCTACTGAGCACGGGCTGCACCAGCCCAAGGAATGTTCCGAGAAATCGTATTCCAACATGGAGACCACCGCTTAATTTCGACCAAGCCGTGATAAGCTCTACTTGAGTTGTAGTTTGCAGATTGCCTGCGCACGACACAGGCCGCAACCCCTTCCCCCGCGTTTCGTTGGGATCGACATGGAGACAGACGCACTACTGCAGTAGAGTGCTTTGTGTGATACCATGCGGAGATGTGGTTGCTCGGTTGCCGCGTGTGGCAAGGGTGAGGTGTACCATGTCAGCGACTTGCCGAATCTACAAAGATTTGCCGAATTCCTTTAAGAGATGGTCTCTAGAGGTCTCACGGAACCGCGAAAAAAAATGTGAATGAATGAATCGATGATCGCTCTCAGTCCGAACGCCTGAACCACGCACGTTTTTGAGCCGAACGCCCGAGACACGAGAAATCACCCCGTCGGCCGTCCTGCTCCACGTCAGAAGCCCTCCTCAAGTTTCAGCTTGATTGGCGCTATCTGCGTTGACGGTTGGATTTGTTGGTGCCGGCACTCTCCAGCATGAAACGCGAGCATGCAGTAGGTGCTGCCGAAACCAAACTACTGCGATCTCGATCGATATGTGCCTAAACGTTGCCTATCCTCCACCAAGTTGAAGCCTCGTTCAATGTACAGCTGGATTGACCAGTCCTTCGACGCTGTAATAGCTTGTGCCTACCATTTTTGCCTCCCAACGTGAGGTTCGGGCCACACCGCTGCAACCTCCCGATGAGGGAATAATACCTTTCCCGCAGATCGACGGTTTCAAATAATTTTTCGCGCGCGCGCAAAAGATTTCGGAACAGATACATCAATCCATTGTAGTTTATCCTGATCTCGACGTGTGTGCCCCGCGATAGACTATTCGCCGCGTTTCGAGGGAACAATATTTTTTTTTGTACATTCGCGCGCGCATAGAGGAATAGAAGCAGTGATTTGTGTAGGCGTACTTGTGTATCTCTATCCTTCCCGCACAGTCTTGCACTTTAGACACGTGCGAAGACATGGTACACACGCGATCCATCAGTCCAAGGCATGCGGGTCGACACAGCTGTTTCACCGCCATGCGCACGCGCATGTATGTTCCGCCGCATTTTGCACGCACACCAACAACTTGACAACTTGATGATTGGTGACTCTCTCTTTTCTTCGTCGGAACACATCCATCCATGCATCCATTGTACAGCAACCCCGATCTCGACCAGTTCGCGCGTGTGTAACTTGCCTCCCCGCTATCACCCTGCCAACGACAGGGTCGCGGAAGGTTTTTCGCCGCGAAACGTCGGTTCGTGTCAAGTTATTTTGCGCGCGCAAAACCGTGGAAATACAGGGAGCTTTCTCTGACGCTATGAATTATTGCTAGTCTATCTTAGACCCTTGTCTTAGAGATGGATTCGTTGGGTCATTTGCATATTGAGAAATATAAAACATGTCGCGGATTTCGTTCTCGTCGGAACGACACGTGTGCTCCGCGATAGACTACGCGTTTCGAGGGAAACATTATTTGTTCTTGTACATACGCCCGCGCATAGATAGAGGGATGGAGGGAGCGATTTGTGCAGGCGTGCTTGCGTATCACTCTTCCTCAACAGTCTTGCGTTCTGGATACGTGCGAAGACAAACACGCGTTCCCTCAGTCCAAGGCATGCGGGTTGTCGCAGCTGTTGTTTTCGTCACAATCCAGTTCGCGTAGTTTTGCATGCATCACAGAAAATCTTATCCTCGCCTGTTCCCTCTACATCAGACTTAGTATGTGGCATTGTCCATCCAGACTATAACTTGCCGCTACCTTCTTGCCCTAGCCGTCGTCGTACGGATGCAACAAGATTGATCACACTACTTTTTGTGCGGATCTTCATTTCTTCGCTGTGCTCTCTACACCACTTAGAAAACAAACAAAAATCTCTTAGAGGACCAACACGGTTGCCCGAAGCAAGCTGCGATACCAATCTACATGTGAGTGGTATGTATTGTCCATAAACCGGGCCGTGATTGGTGGAGTCATCGTAGAGAGCGTACACGTCACTTCCTGCCCTCGCTAGCGCCACACGCAGTCCGCCTGGAGAGTGCGCCGCACGGCGGATAGTCGTCACAACACATGGCTATCTGCAGGTTCAAGTCTTGCTGCAAGGCGAGGCGAGTTCTACCGGTGGAGAAACCGAAAGCAATGGCTCTAGGCTCACGAAAGTATCAGGATTGCGATTCCTGCAATCTCGTGAGCCCTCAGCCAGGAGTAGTTCCGTCTGAAGGTCTCCCATGCGTTCGTTGGGGAAGGTCCGTTGGAAACATGAGGTTGGAATTCCTGCCACCCTCCGTCACATTCAGTGCGGTACATATCACGCTGCACGTTCTGCATTCTGCGCCCTACACTCCTCAGCTGCAGGCGTGTTCTCCCCATGTGTCTCCGTCCGCGTTAGGCCTCACACCAAAGTCATCCCCCGACGCCATTTTGCCCTGTCATCGCCAGCAGGTAGTGAAGTGGCTGTTCGAGAACAGGCAGGAGGGTTGCACACCGGCGGCAGCCGAGGGTGCGGCCAGGCAGGGGCACGACGAGATCGTCAAGTATCTCAAGGGGCACAAGCGGGGCCGTAGCGTTGACTACAAGGACCTGGGACGGGTGCTGGGCCAACCAGAGAACCCCTAACCCAAGGATAAAGTGCAAAGTAGGGGGGCAGAATGATTGCATTTACTCACTTTCTTCAGGTTTTGAAGTTGTGGATGCATCAAAAGGGGTAGTGATACTGCGTATTTCGAATCGTACAGTGTGGTGGTGACGTAAAGAGTAAGATCAAGCGTTGGTTCGGGAGACCTGAAAGACGCGGGAGGAATATGATGTGGAGACCACAGTACCAGGCGTTAAGATACGAAATCTGAGACTATTCCTTGCTTGCATAACCGTGAGTTTGATGGCACGCAACAATTTCCACCTTCACCGGTAGTTGGAGACGTCGGGCTTAGAGACCCGCGACATCAGTGTCATGAACCGCGCAGCCTCCGGGGTACCTCCCCCCCCCCCCC